CCCGCGGGGCCTGGCCGGGCCCCGGGTGCCCCCGGCTCTCAGCGCGGCGCTGGGCGATGCTGGGGCCCGTCCTGCGGCCTCGGTGACCCACCCCGGGCCGGTGCCCGCCGCCGCCGGCGAGAGCCCGGCTCGTTTCGGTGTTTCCCCCCGGCTCTGCCCCGGCACCGGGGCCTCGGGGGTGCGGGAAGAGCTGCCGGGTGACTGCGGGGCGGTAACGGGAAAGGACCTTTTGGCTCTGCGGCTGGGGCGTGATGCAGCCTGAGGAAATGCTSATTTACATTTCGCTCCTTATCCGCCATGTATTTGTAGTTAGTAACTTAATTCATCCCGTTCTTAGTACCAACTCATGCGTTTAATGCCCCAGTGACAGCGTTGGTCAGCCTGCAGGAAGGTAGTTATGGGAGRACCTTTAACAAGATGTTTTTTATTTTGCAATCATGCTGACCTGTTTTTTTTGGGGGGGTTGGGGGGGAATGGGTTACAGTTTTAGCTGAAGAACAAAACTTGTCTACATGTGCTTCACTGTCCATTGGAAGAATGACAGATGACAAAGATGTACTTCGAGATGTATGGTTTGGACGAATACCGACCTGTTTCACTCTGTATCAGGATGAGATAACAGAAAGGGAAGCTGAACCTTACTATGTGAGTATGACAAAGGTAGTTACAAATAGTTCAAAGCCGTCTTTATGTTTGTTTTCTTCATTCTCATCACGTGTACTACAGCATGTTGTGAAAAAAAAAAACCCAACTTTTCTTTTTCTCATTCCTGGTAACTTCTGAAAGTAAACATATAACYGTGCTGTGTGATTTCATCTTTCTTCACATCAGGTTGAAAACTTAAGGCTTGTTTCACTAGTGAGACAAACTTTTCACAGATAATTAAGATCTTTGAAAAAATTATGAGAAAGTCAGCAAGTGACTAGATAAAGGGGAAGGCTGTATGTGAGTTTGTATGTTCTTGGATAATGARCAGTCGAAGGGAGAAAACTTGTGTTAATATATAGAAGAAATAGATACTAGAAATAATTTAGTCAGAGATGTACAAAATCTTAAACTTAAGGTTGGTCACCTGTGTATCACTGGCTCCATGGATGACTTCTGCTCATTTTCTTTTCTTTACATTACAGCAGCCATGAGAACTCCAGCTTAGAAGTAAGAAAAGCAACTATAATGGCTAAACAGAGCACTGCCTGAACAGGGTTGCTAGCTGATGATAAAAAAAAGGATGATGGATGTATTTGAGTTGTAACATGGAAGTGCCTTCTATAATGATGTGTTTATTTATAGTGTTCTCATCAGTTTTCATTTTTTTCAGCACTTAATAGGCATTTAATTGAGAAAGAATGTTAGCTGATTCAGTGAAATTCAATTTTGAAATCTAGCCAGTTTATGGGAGGGAAATCTTGAACTTCTAGTTTTTATGGGATTCTGAAATTCTTAAGTCTTATCCCATTCCAGACTGAATAGAATTTTTTTTTCTGTGTTCAATAGCATTTTTGTGTCATCAGATTCTGATTTGCATATGTTGTTTTGAAACCTAATAAACCATTAGTGCTTTTTGAGCAGTAATAGTGCTCATCTTTGTATATTTTAGTTTCATCACTGGTAAAAGATAAGCACTTCTTATTTGTTGACCTGTTGCCAAATACATCTAAGCTACCTACAAGTCTCAGACTTTAATTTACATGTATGAGTTAAAATAGGTTTGCATACTTTGTGTAAGGGCCACTTAAAAAGGATGAGTTTAAGTTTAGAGGCATGCAGCCTTGATCTGTTCAATATTGGCGTGGAAACCATGCAACCACGTTATCTTCATGATGTGGCCAGCTTTCTAAGTTGAGATAGTTTTAAGCTCGTAGGATTTCTTTTATTTACTCCRTGTAAAGTGTGCACAAGAATTCTCAATGTGTGATTCTTTCTGCAAAATCTGGTTACTCACAGATGATGGTTCTAGAATTTTAGGTTCTTCATTTTTCGGTTCATGTTGGAGCTAACAGTAGAGTTTTGCATCTTTGAAAGRACCAAGGATTTATAACAGTAAAAGGCAGAGTAGCAGTCAGGATTTTAAATCATAGTATAGTTCTCATAGTTTCAGAATGTATCTGCTTTGATGTTTTTGTTCAGATCTGGAGTGCATTTGAAGTAAATCTTCATCCTTTCCACTTCCTGTGCCCAGGTTAGCACCACTGAGCAGTCTGATTGCCCACAGCCGAATCATTTTCATGTGAAGCTGAAGCAGCAGATGGGCTTCAGCTGCTAATGGACATTCAGTGTATGGGAGCAAATTTGAGCTAAATCAAAGTAAAAGAACATCAAACCCCCTAAAATTCTGGGTGAGGTCGAAAGGCACTCAATATTTCCAGCCCTTGACATCAGCACTTTGTCTCCTCTTATGTGTTAGCATAGATATAACCTTTGTATTCSTGGCTGCCTTTCATAAATGGAAAGGCTGCATGGGAAAGAAACACTGGCATCATTAAGTTGAAAGAGGATAAAGAATTCTGCTCTGAGGAACTTGCTTTATGAAGGATGGCACAGACTTGGAGGGTTAGACAAACAACCCAGAGTCAGTGGGGTGGATTTTCGTTTGTTGTGAGTGGTGTTACAGGAGAGCCCTTTCTGTCAGTTGGGTTAGTGCAGCACAGGTGTGCTGCATGTGTGTATCACCTTATGGCACTGCTGGGGGTAGGACAAGCAATTTAAAATTACTTGTCTATCTTTGGGAAAGAGTGGTGACATAAAGACTGGGCAGCTCCGGTAACACTCTGTCCTGTGTCTTACCTTTGTCAAGTCAGGTAGTTACTGCAGTTACGTTAGAAATGGATTAATCAGTTTTCTTTGGAGTGTTTCACACAGTGCTCATGTTTTTAGTGGCAGTGTATTTAGGAACAGTTAGGTTGAAACTGCTTTTGTTGCTGATTTTTCCTCATCCTAAAAATGTAATACGTTTTATTTTAAAATTGTATGCTGTTTGCTCTTGGTGCAAGTAACAGTTAGAAAGGAAAGAAAGAAGTATACAGGAAGAAGAGATGCATTGGCTGAGACTTGTCAGGTATATAAAGGACAAAATGACAGCAAGATAGTCTTAGAATGAAGCTCTGCCCAAGGGACTACTCTTCAGTTTGCTTGCTGTCAAAAGTGTTACTTTGTTAAGATGTCTGTAAGAGTGAGCACTGTGAAGCCATTCCACGTTAGGATGCTTTGTTTCATCTTCCTCCACGCTTCGTGGTCAGACCAATCCAGTTCTTGTTAAATCTGTAATTTTTCTGGGTTTGTGTGTAAAAATTTTAGTTTTGCATGTAAAAATATTATATGCTCTGTGGAGCAGAGACATATAATAAAAACCTGTGGAGATATCTGGAGAGGTACTCTTTTTACACAAAGCTATATTGCAAGCATTTACTTAGGCATTAGGAGTTCTTTGTATTTCATTTACCCTTCTGGTTAATAAGAAAACATTCCTTGTTATTGTGATTAAATACTGTAGCAATACACAGTATACAAAAAGAAGATGTTGTGGTTTGTGTCATTTTAGGGATGGCGTTTAGGGATGGCTGTGAGGACTTACTCTGCTTGGTGACGTATCTGGAGATTTCTTTGATGAAGAGAACTCATGATCTTATTTGTTGTCTTTCAGTGGGTGGGGAAGCGATATTAAAAGGGGTGACAAAGTGAAAATGTCTTTAAACTGCTTTTAAAGGTCTCACTTAACAGATTTAGTATACTGGTAAATCTCCTAAGATAGTTAAAGCTGGAAAAGTGGTAGAATTTGATCCTTTCATTTCTTCCATGGAAGGGGAAAACTATAGCAAGGTAAAACAAGTGGGGGGACCAAACAAAGAGTTTAGTAGGTTCTGCAAATGCTYAGCATCTCTGAAAAATAGGTAATCCTTGTTAACCTGATTAACTGTCAGGTTTTGTACAGTTTTGCAGTTTTTTGGGAGTGCTGGCCACATTCTGTTAAATTCAGTTAAATACCATTTGGTTATTGTCTGTGATCTTCAATTGTGTTGAAGTAGAAACTGGGTTCTTTCACAATACAAACTGAAGTAAAATATTTTACAGAGGAAGTTAYGCAGTTTAAAGGGCTAAAAGTGTCAAACACTGTTGCAATAAATAATGGTTTGATATATTTATCAATTCCAGCATGGCTGTGCTACATGCAACAGACTGAAAATTGGCTTTTGTAACAGTCCTAGTAAGTCTCATCACACTATACCAGCACTAATTTAACTGTAAATATTGCACAGAAATAACCTGAAATTATTACCAAAAATATATAGGTTTGATTGGTGTAGCCTGGACTGCATTGTCTCAAGAATCATCAGTGAAAATATGTGGCATTAGATAAGTAAAGGATAAAATTAATGCTGTTGTTCAAGTTATTAAAGTACCAAACAATTCTCACTTCAGTGTGTACATAACGTTATTGAATTTGAGTTTGTTTGCCTTTTAAAAATTGAGGCTGTTTTGATTACATTGCTCCTATGAAACAAGGTAGAAACAATGTGATGATGGCAATAAAAGCCGCATGTGGAAAAATAAAACCATATGGTGCATGAAAGATGGAGCGTTAACTGACAGGATGACTGTGATAGTGGTGAGACTTGGTTTTATGTAGTTTTATATAATTGTAAAATTTAGCTGTGCCACAGATGTAACTTGATGCAGCATTATCAGAAAGATGAATCTGTTTTTGTAAGAACTTGATGTGTTCTYCATACTCCTTTATGAATTGGGTATTTACAAATTGTAGTATCATGGCCAAAATATTATCTGATTTACATATCAAAGTGTGGTCTAATTATTGGAGAAATTCTAGAAGAATGTTGCAGCAGAGATCAAGTTTTCTCTCAGGCAAAATATATCCTTACATGATTTGGGGATGTCTGTATTTTAGACATTCACTTAGGGCCTGACATTATTCATATGCTATAAAGAAAATAGTTTAAGAAACAATACTGGTTAGGAGGAACACTGGGAAATAAATGTTTTTCTAAATGTGCAAAATGCAATCTGTGTATACCTTAGGCCTGTCTATTTTATTAATAATTATGAAGCAGAACTTTACAGGATGAATACTATTAATTTAAAATGTTGGCTCCAAAGTGAATTGATATTTTACATGGAGGTTAATCTTTTCTCATTGAGACACTGAAAAGCATTGTTTGTTAATGCTTATGGATTGATTTATYTTAAGTAAATGTGCCACACAGTCATCAGTCAATGCACTGATTGATACAGAGTGCTGAACCACTCCCACTAGGCATGAGATTTTAAAAAAACAACATTGCAAATAAAAATAGCGCAGTGTTGTGATCTGGGTAGTGTAAGCTTGAGAAAAAAAGATAGTATATGACAAAGCTGTGAGATGGTGTCTTTTTTCACTAATAAAACACTGACAGTTTTCTTTCTGATTTTAGTTGCTGGGTGAAGGTTAAATAGTGGAAGAACAGTAGTCTTCACTAATAGGTTAAATTGGCAAACCCAGTGCAAAGAAAATGGAAATTGTCAGCTATCGGAAGTACAAAACACTTAGAAACCAAACCCTTAAGCATCTAGTTTTCTTTTTTTCCCTTGTGCAGGAATTTCCATTTTCAAATAATAGCTGGTGCATGTTTGCTYATTCTTTTCAATAAGAACTTAGAATCTCTTCTTACATGTTCATGTGAAAAAGGTTTAATAATTCATTATTTAAATACAGAAAAGCAGAAATTGAGGTCCACTGTTCTCTCTCCCACCCTATTGAAAGAGTCAAGTTTACATTTTTTTGTGTTAATGTATTGGATATTCCTGCATCTTTTGAGTWCATAATTTTGTAGCCTTTCTTTAGCTATTAGTTAATAAACTGTCTAAAAGACMTCTTACATTATAGACAGGAAAAAGAGAATGCTAACTGAATTTCGTTTATGAAAATGCATACTTGTTACAGATTTTTGCTAGTTTAGCGTATTTTATTTGTGATTAAAGCTTCTATATTTTTTTCAGTTGCTTTTGCCAAGGATAAGCTACTTGACACTGGTAACAGACAAAGTGAAGAAACATTTTCAGAAAGTAATGAGGCAAGAGGAAGTTAGTGAAATATGGTTTGAATATGAAGGTACACCACTGAAATGGTAAGTTGTTTAACTTTGTACTTTATGAAGTGTATCATGTAGAGAGTTCCCAGGTTCAGCACGGTGTCAGTAGTTTTCCYAAAATAATCACTCCCTTGGATTTCAAAGATGGGGAAAGAGAAGGAGGGTAAGAAAAGCATGTCTTTTGGGAAAAACAAAAGAAGGTTTAATGTTGAACATATATTTTAATTATTGTGATTAAATTTTTACTATATGTGTAAGACAGAGGTGTTGTGCTGTGCTTACTATTTTGTTCTAATTGTTTCCATGATTCAGAATGCCTGTGGYTTTAGCTTTACCATTGCTTGCAGTAGAATTGCCAAATAAATCTTTCTTTTACATATTCCATCTTCCTAAAAGATGTCCGATAACATAGATAGGAAGTAATATTTCTGGAGTGTGAGTGCTTATATGCTTGAAGGTAATAAAATATGAGTACCTTCACTTTTTACTGGTGTGACATGTGCTTGCATTGTAAAACAATCTAATATTGATCTGCAAGCTTTTGTTGAATTCAATTAGTTCAACTTTACTGAACTAATTGCTGTTGATTCTGGTTTTATTCTGTTCTATAGTGTATTGGAACGGTCTTTGTTTTGTTTGGTCTTGGTGGTTTTTTTTAGTTGTTGGGTTGTTTTTTTGGTGAGAGGTTAGGGACTTGGACTGACATTGTTTCATTTAATTAATTTTCATAAATACTGTTCGTCAGGTTTTGCTTCTTCTGCAGTTAAAGAGTTTAAAGCAAATACTCTTGAGAGCTTCAGTGTTTGCTAGCTCTCTATAGATAGCATAAGCTCTCCGGAAGGCATTTAGTATTTTGAATGATGAAGAGATTTTTATCTCTTTTTATTTCCTGTATCATAATAGGAAAGAAAACTACCAGTGATTTTTTTTTAATCTTGCTGAACCTGGATTGTCTTGTGATTTGTAAGCAGCACATCATGGAGTCCGTGTAGACTTGGTGACACAGAAGATCTCTTCTAGTCTGTTTCTTTTACACCAACTTAGTGTAAACCTTGAAAATATGTAAATAGAAATTCATAAAAACTAGCTTTTAAAATTTTCTTTTATAACTGACTGGCAACAGTAGCTTTAGGCATCTATTTAAATTATGTGGAGTTTAACAAGGAATGGTTTCTTACGTGCCACAGTGACCTTGAGTCATGAATGTTTTCTGAATAAACAGCAAGATACCACATTTATCCCAGTGTGTTCATAATCCCAGGTAAATATTGGTAGGAAACCAAATTTTTTCTGAAGTTGTAATAAGAAAGAGAGGCTTTGTACTTCAGCCAAAAAGAGATTTTCCGTAAGTTTTCAAATACCATGATATTGAAACTATAATAAAAAAATATATAGTTGTAGAATATAGGTATACAGTAAAAATATAAATTGTAATTCTAAAATTAAGTGAAGACTTTCTAAATTAATTAAACAGATAAATGGAAGTAAATAGTGTAATGATGATCTGCTAATTAAAGTTCTGATCTTTCAGAAAAGCTGAGCATATTGAGTCAGGAATAGCTCCACTGATTTTGGTGGAATTGCTTTTGTAAGGAAAATGCTGTTTGTAAACCATTGTTTTAGGAGAATGATAATCCCGTAGAGAGCCAAAGCTTCATCTGGGGAAGACCCAAACACCTGAATTGAGAATTAGATTGAGYTAGTAGTTTGTAGAGAAAGAATAGTGAGCATTAATGTTTAATTTTTTTTAGCTATGACTTCTGCATTCAGAGACAAATAGAACTTGTTAATAATGTTGCTCATTCTAATTATTTACTTTGCCCTGTGAGATCATATTGCTTACAGCCTGTGCAGTCTATACATACTTGGGATGAAGTCTCTATCAGTTCATCTTCCACTTTCCAGTGAGTTTTTGAAGGCAGTCTGAAACATAGTTTCAACTTCACACTCAGGCAGCGTGAGCCACGTTCTTGAAGGAGGAGGAAGCTCTCCAGATCTGGAGTTAAAGGGGCTTGTGTTCTTTCTCTCACTGAGGTGSTTGGTCTTTGCCTGCAGGAGGTGTGTGCTGGGGGAAGGTCTGAGTCACCAAGGTAAGGGGTTTCAGGAAGAGGTTAGGAAGGGAAGGGTTCAGGAAGGGTTTTCAGGAAGACTGTGCAGCATTAGAGAATTAAGAAGGAAATGGATCAAATCTCAGACCATCCTGCAGCTATAGAAGCCTAAACCTACAATCACACTTAAAGAGATGTAGGTGAAGACTGTGATTAGAAAACAGTCTCCTAAGATTTGGAAGAGCTAGAAATTTATGATTTCTTGTAGCAAAAGGAATGTTCCTTCTACACCTGCATTTCTGTAAGTACAGCATAGGTTTGGTGCTCTGGCTGCAGGTGAAGGACTGAAAGTGCTGTCCAATGATGCATCTGATGTGGCTGAGCCTGAATTATGCAGGGGCACCAGGAGGAAACAAAAAAATCAAGTCAAAAGTCTGTATTCTGCTTACTGTCCTTTCTCCAGGATTTTTAACTCTGCCATGTCATGTCACTACAGCCAAAGCCGCCACTGATTATTATATCCAGAACTCTTTTGTCTTAATAAGTAACAGATTATCTCTTCTTCATCCAGTGTCTGTATCAAGCAATCTTGACTGCTTATGTCTYACTGTGTTGCTTTTCCAGCAGATGTCAGAGATTAACAGGAACCAGGGTCTGTGATATAGACACTGACTGAGTTGTCTAGAGAAGTATTTATCTATTTTCTCACCGGGATTGCATGATCTGCTGCCCTTACTAGTCTCTCCTCTGTTCCTGAACCACAARAACTCAACAAACCTGTTGTATGTCCCATTAAGTTTCATGCATCTAAGCTGCTCCCTCACGTGGAAGACAACCCTCTGCCCTCGTCTGCCCTACCTGTCTTTACTAWGCCGCTTAAATCTGTCCTTCCACAGCAGTATTCCAGTTGTGCAAGCTGTCTCACTGTGCCTCAGGTAGCCCAACACTCTCACAGTAAGGTCTATGAGATACAATGTCACGGTAATGTGGTACTCTATTTTTTCCTGCTTGGTTGTCAAGCTGAGCGCTTATGTAGATATTTCTGCTGGGCTCTCTTTTACCTTCTTTTATCACTTTGACATTTCCCTTGTAGCTGTCACCTTTCACCTATGCCCATTAATTTCTATTTATCTGTGGGTTGTTATTCACAGTCCTGTTGTTTTTAATCTAAAGCTCTCATAAGGCTGGGCAACCTGAAGGCAAAGATACTTTTGTATGACTTTTGTGGATTCCATCTCTCCCTAGCAGTCCATTATCCCCAACAGTGTCCCGTGTCTGTAAAAACCAAGTGSTTGTTGCATCAGCTGCGTAACCAGCTCGACCTGCAGACACCTCTCTGAACCAGTCTCCTTTAATGGCAAAAGTGTGGAGATGCCTCCTTGCCCCTAGAGTTTGTATGGTCCCTTTTGATACACTCAGGGTTCCCTTGCAGCACTTAAAATTTGTGCCTATGTGGATAAACAGCTAGGCCTAATACAAGCAGAGGACAAGCCTTGCCAGTTTGCAGTTTTTTAACAAGCAGCAAACCTGTGCAGGTTAACAAGTGAAGTTGGTGGATGGGGCTCTCTCCCGTGTAGGATAGAATCTCCTTGTGCTATGGGTGCTTCTTCTTGTGGGTGTGCTGTTCAGACAGCTCCAATGCTTCCTCAGAATTTCCAGCCTCTTGTCTGCCATTGAGGCACTGCCAGTGGGTGGAGAAGGAGCCTGCCCTCTCTTGGCCAGAGGGTAAGGAAACTTTTCTGTCTGACCATCCAGGAGCTGCTTTGGCAGTCACACACTCAGACCACCTCAGCTGGGACTGAGGCCCCTTTGCATCAGGCAGCCCCAGGGAGTTGATGAGTGCCTTGTTTGACTCTACACACCCCACGCCCACACAGCCAAGGTTACCTTACCAACCTGACCTTTGATTTTCCATAGCAGAGCCTCAGACATCTGGATCCGTAAAAGACCTTAGTCATGGTGCAACAACARAGTAACAATTTGAGCTGGACGGCTCTGAGGAACGACTCTGAACAAAGGAAACTGGGGRCTATTATGTACCCTCACAGTCTATGCATGTGATAGGCTGGGGGTTTTCTGCTGGGTCAGTGGCTCCTGCTCTGTCTGTGACTATCCAGTTACCTGGCTGGGCCAAAAGTCCTGTGCCCTTTGTTATACAAAAGGTCTGCAATGTCACCCAAAACTCAATCTGCAGCTGTCCACTCTGGTGTATTCCATAATACCAGAGTTCACACAACTCTGRTCTTCCCCATCCTGTGAGTCCCCACTGACCACTCCAATGACTGCTGACTCTCTCTCCAGGTTCTCATCTCTGTGAGGTCTTGGTGAAGATGCCATCAATCTTTTTATCTTCCCTGATCCTGTGTAGCCCCCTGACCTGCAGCTCCTTAATTTGGTGACATAGCTCCTCACTAATGTACRCCTCCTCTAGGCAAGGATGTTTCCTCTGCTTATCCTAACGCTCAGGAGAGGTCCCAGGCTCTCCTGTCAGGCTGCAGCTCTCAAGGTCTCAAGCTTTCTCAGGAGCCCTGCCTGAGTGATGCCGCTCTGTGCTGGAGTGTTTTTTTCAGCAGATGCTAGGGCATGACACCCTGTAGCTTGTTTTCATCCTGTCTGAGCACTTGCACATAGCCTTCAGTGTTGTTATTGTCCCTTTTGTATGGGTTGTGTTCTAGCCCTGGTAACTGTAGGTGTCTCTTTAGTACCAGCTGGATGGATGTTTGCCCCTTCCCATTCACAAATTAATGGAAGACAAAAARTCAAATTACCATTTGATCCAGCATCTATCAACTCTGCAAAGGATAGGGACTTTACAGAAGAAATCTGTATTGCATGAACTTCATTTTGTAACCTAAACTGGGTAGAAGATATAGAGGTAGGCCAAGACCTGATTCAGGAGCTTTTGTGTGTTTTTGGTGGTTTTTTTGGTTGTTTTTTTAATTTTTTTTTTTTAAGTAATCTATTTCATTGTAGAAATTGAAAGGAACTGCAARTCATTGTTTATGTTGAAAGCTTATGTTCATTAATTACTAAATCTGATTTTTGTTACTGAAGTCACCTGGAAAATTACTCCTTCACAGGACTCTTGCTGAGTGCCTGCTAAATGTTTAGGACATGATGAGCAGTTAGTAGTAAAAAATCACGTGATAAAAACTTGAGCATTAGCAGTGAATCAGGATAAATCTGGATATGCATTCTCCTTATTCTCAGATATGCTCAGGAATTATAGTAATAGTTTTCTGATCTTCATTTTGCTGTTGTGAATTTGTCTTAGCTTTGGGATGGCTCACCCGTAGAGGGTGCTAAAGCACTGTTGTGTGAGAGTTTCACTGATGTGGAAAATGGCTTGGYGCAGGTGCTGTTAAAGCAGCGCTCTTGGTTAGTGCTCTTGGGACTTTAAAAACTTATGTGCGTGCTTGGCTCTGTGACCTGTAATCAGTCCTGTTTGATTCAGTGAAACTACTGAGTTTACAGTTCAGTGTGTTTTTATCTGTTTGTAGGATGAAAAGTCGGTGAGGCTCTTTGGGTTATGATTTTTGAAAGATAAGAGAATGGTTCTGGGTATGATGAATGTTAAAAAAGAATATTAAAAATCTTGCCAATGTCTGCATGTGAGAACAATGTGAGAAAACTAAAGGAAGCTTTTTTTTACAATGCCTGCAGAGGTTTTGTGTGTGTGATATTCCATATACTGCAAGGGGCTGTGTATTCTAATGAATTTAAGGGAGAGAAAAGCTATGAGACAGAAGTGAATATTTGGCAGAAGCAAGCTTTTTTGTGTAACTCCTTTAATCTGGAATACGATTGAAATAGGAAACTGCAATTAACTTTTTCTTTCCCTTTCATCCTTTTAAATTTGATAGTAAAGATACAGGGTTAATCTTGATCTATCCTCTTTAAGCTCTTTTACAAATATGTAGTTCTTTCACTTTTCTACTTATTGTTTACATAGATAATATCAGGGATGTATGAGAGGGTGTYAAGGGTCGGTGTGGTATAAATGCAGGAGACTGAAGCATCTGGAAGCATTTTCTGTCAGACCCAGCTATTCCTGGTCTGTGCTTCTTAACTAAAAATATGTTTTGGAAGGTTCCACRAAACAGCTAGGCCACTTAAGGCTATTGCAAAAGTAGCAGTGTTTTGCAGGCACAGCCTGGAGACCATTGGTTTAGATATTGRACATGTAAATTCCAGACTTGATTCTGCCTGTCAGTCATTTAAATTGGCCTGTRTAACTTTTCTAAGTAAGCAATAAGGAATTCTAATTGTTTATCAGAATTAATTCTAAGGAATCAAACAACTATTTTATGTGTGTGTAAATGCAGGTATGCTAACTGTGATATGTAGAATTAAATGTGCAGCTTCTATATTAAATTAATGTCTTTGCMTTTTTAGGCATTACCCAATTGGTTTACTCTTTGATCTCCATGCATCAAATACAGCCCTTCCTTGGAGCATCACAGTGCATTTCAAGGTAAAAGTGATATCAACACTTTTTTAAGAACAAGTGAGCATGAAGATTGCATGACATTTGGAAGCTAGGAAAAGGCTTCATAACTATTTTATAAAACAAGTGAATTGCATTATTTGAAAGGGACAATATCCATTGTTCAGGAAGCATATAAAGGTTTCTGTAAATATGCAGCTATTTTCCATGAGATTCAGTGTGCTTTTACTGGACTTTCCTTAGAAAATTATTCTATTATAATCTCAAAATCCAAAGTGGTTTTTCAAGATAAGTTGTGAGATTTACAATATAAGAGAATTTTCTATAATGTTTTTAATTCAATTGAYTTGAGTTGTCTGAAGACTGGGGAGATTGAGAAGTGCTCATCCTTTYAGGGATACATGAGCATGGACATGAGATGCTGTAGAAATCCTTGAAGTCAGGGAATGTTGTACTTAACGTTGGTCCCTTTTAGACAACTGAGTTAAATGAGTTAGGTCTTGTGACAGCTTAGTCACAGGAGAGACATTATTTTGATTATRCATTGTAAAACCATTAGGTATGACTTAATAGCACTACTGATCTTTGCTCAGAAGGGAGCTTATGCAGGGTTAGCTTTGGTGCAGGATTCTTGCATGCCCTGAAATGCATTGAGGCAATAATTCCAGGTATGTTTTGAAGTCAAACGCACAACTACAAATCATGATATTCAACTTTGAAATGTCAATTTCTCCACTGAAATAGAAACAACGCAATAGGAACATTGATCTGAAGGACAACACTATGTTAATAGGCTTGACTTTAGTGTGTGAGAAATTTGGGTGAGATGAAAAGCATATTGGGAAGCACACATGTTCAATCTTTTCTTTGAAACAATTCTTCCCTTGAAGATGTTTTAGAAAAGGTTTTTCTAAGGGTAGTCTGATGCTTTTGGAAGTATACATTCTTACGTATTTCTGTATGTTGAATCTTTTAAAGTGACTGACTGAATGGATCTGAAGTTGGAGATGTTTTTGAAACCATTGTAATTGCTGTACTTGTTTGATAAATGTCAGACTTGGGATGAGGAAAGTTCCAGACTGTTCTAAAGAAAATGTAGGGCGTCTAGTTTCATAAATCATGGTGTAATTGTTACGTTCTGAGAGCTCTGCAATATTAACAGTGGCAAGGTGTAAATGTTGCCATCACAGAGTAGAGGCATCTTGAGAATTAAGTTGCAGCACCACAGTGCTTTTTAATTTCACACGGAACATAAATTTGATTTTATTGTCCATGTGTTGCTGCTTGCCAAAAGATCAGGTACTTTAAACTTTTCTCAAAGGTTTACATTAAAGCTCAGAAATAATTAACTGCTAAGGTAATATTATTTTAAAAGTTGATGTATTTTAGTAATATAATACCATGGAGTTAGCACCTGCATAATATCTCTTCYTATTTTGATGTAATCTGAAAGTTTATTTAAAGAAAACCCCTCTGAATCCTTGAAGTCAAAACACAACTGAAAGATATCAAAGTATGTCAAAATATTGAAGAGGTTTTCATGTGTTACAGTTTCTTACAGCTGAATAGTTTAGGTGTGGGATTTCTGACTAGATTATTCTTTTCACTTCTGTGTAGTTTTTCTTCAAAGAGCCATAATTTTTATTYGGCTTAATTAAACAGTGTTAGATTTTATGGTGTTTAACTTTTGTTGTCGTGGCTGTCTCCTTTCTTCTACCAGTGAATGCAGACAACAACAGATATCCCAGACATCTGTAAAGAGTGTTTTTCAACTTCTTTTTAAAAGCCAAACTACCCCATCAAGTTTCTTTGTTTGAAGTTAAAAATATGGAAAAAGTTTATTTCTGTTCAGCAGTATACAATAAAGTAACATTAATTGTATCTTGTAAAGTTGAAAAACAGTGGCATTAAATAGTTGTAGATGGATGAGGTTGAACAGCATACTGGGATCTGAGAGTGATGAGCAGTCACCATAGAAGTTGCTTTTGTTACTTAGGTGTGGCTTTATGGGAAGGAGAGAAATTCTATCCGTTACTCTACAGCCTGCTTAACATTGTTCATGTTCTCAGTGTGGTGACCACCTTTCCAGATTTTGAAAGTAGATAAGAAGTAATGAACTGCTCTGGAAATGGTAGCACTATTGGAGGAGAAGAAATTGTGTGTGCTAGGAGAAAGGCTGAAGCCATTATCTGCTGGTGCTTGCCTCTCCACCCATGACATGACGTACAAGAGGAGTGACACCATTTGTCCTTACTTGGCAGTCATTGTATTTGTGGGTTTTTAGGTGAAAATTGGGTCAGGTGGAGTGAAAAGCAAGTAGTTTTCCATGTAGCATATGGATAAATTGTAGAACTGCTAGGAGATATTGTGGAAGCCAGAAGTATACATGTTGGGGTTGTTTTTAAATTAATCTATTTAGAGAAAAGGCCACCGGTGGTAACTAAACACAACTACATAGAKGTACCCCCTGCCACTGGATACATTCTTTGTAGGTTTTTATGCCCTGTTTTCTGTAAATGTAGTGTAATGCAAGTAGACTGTCACAGGATAAACAGATGTTTTGTGAGCTAGAACTGAGAGATAAATATGGGTGGAATGGAGTTATGAAACCAGATTGTTGAAATTGCCTGTGATGTTTTTGGTACAGTTTTATGCTAGAGGTCATTTAACACTCCTGTCTGTACAGACAATACCTACTTCTTTGTGACCAGTTCTTGCTGCAAGGGTCTACTGGTATGTGAAAATAAAAAACAGAACTCCTTGAGCTTTCTAAGAAAATTGGAGTCAACCCTTAGTAATATCTCTTTCAAAGATACAGGACATGGAGGGAGTAAGAAACCACCAACAAGAGTACTTGAATTAAGGCTGYTTGTGGCATCTGTTAAAACTTTTTGAAGATCTCCTAGTTGTATGGCCAGGGGTGGCTACAGTTTGCTTATGATTGTCACTTTCTTCAGGGAACTCAGTGAAGTTATTTATGATTGATCACAGTTTCTTCAGTGAAAGAAGAATTTTTTTTTAAATATATTTTTTTTACTAAAAAAAATATAAAAAAATACAAATGTGAATACACATNGAAAATTGGAGTCAACCCTTAGTAATATCTCTTTCAAAGATACAGGACATGGAGGGAGTAAGAAACCACCAACAAGAGTACTTGAATTAAGGCTGCTTGTGGCATCTGTTAAAACTTTTTGAAGATCTCCTAGTTGTATAGCCAGGGGTGGTTCTGGGCGACGGGGCCACAGGTCACACAGACACCAATATGATGAGCATGATCCGTTTATTTCTGATACAAGCTCCTTTTTATCTGTTTTCATAAGCCAGCCTCTCTATATGATTAGTAATGCCTTTCTATATGATTAGTAATTATTCATTGGTTAATTTAACAATCTATTACATTTCAGCATATGATTGGTATATTTGCAAAAGCGTGTTTTTGTATGCCTTGCAGTTTTAAATCAACGTTCTCAGCATTTTGCACTTTCTTCAATCGTCCTGTTGTTCCTCAATTGCTCCTTGTTCTTGCTTCTTACAATGTTTCTTCTTCATGGTCAATCGGTACATGTTACACCGCTGTAGTCACGTCCTCCTCTTTCCCATCCTCTTCTATCTCATCCTGCTCTATCTTGTGGTCTGGGTTGCTCAGTGACAGCAATTCATGCCCTTGTTCCCATAAAAACCTGTCTAACAGAGATTCMCCTGACTGAGATCCCTCTACAGGGTGGCTACAGTTTGCTTATTATTGTCACTTTCTTCAGGGAACTCAGTGAAGTTATTTATGATTGATCACAATTTCTTCAGTGAAAGAAGAATTTTTTTAAAAAATATATATTTTTTTACTAAAAAAATTATAAAAAAATACAAATGCGAATACACATGATCTATATCTAAGTCTAAAATTTACTGTTTTGTGCCCTGATTGATAAATTAGCGAGGATGCCATATTTTCTGTTGGCATTCTCACACAGGTGAAACTGTTTCATGTGCTTCTTGTAGATGTGCAGTGTTTTTTTTTCTAAGTTGTCACTTTCATGTTTAGGTTTTTCAACTTCTACTCACAGTACTTCAGAGAAATGTGTCAGTGCTTTTCTACTAAAGAAAAGAGTGTTTTCCAGTCTTGCACAGTGTTACTCCTTAGAAGCTGGAAAAATTAATCATGCCCCACCTAGTTCTACTACTGTGTCTAGATTCTTTACACTGTTTTAACTAGCTTTGACCAGTTGTGAATAGCTCCTTGCTGTTCTGTAGACTACACTGTGTGTGAGTTCTGAAACTCATCCCCAGGCAGTGACATTCCCTGCAATTTGAAATTTATTGGAAGAAAGTCAGCAGAAGGATGCCTACCTGTACAAAGAGAAGAATGTCCAAAACAAGACCCTGCAGCTTATTATTTAGACACATGTGCAGCAAAACAGCTGTTGGGACAAAATTGCTGTATTCATAAACTTAGCTAAAACATCAGTTTTTAACTATGAAAGTCAATTTCTAGGTTGTTATATTACTTGGCAGTAGGTACATACCACTGTTTTTTCCRTTGTTTTGAGGGATGCCAGTGTCTCACTTTGAATTCTTGCATGTAAAGAACTTTTTTGAYCTTTTAAGTATGCTATTTCTATCTATTTGTTTCTTCTGGATTAGTTATGAGACTTTACATTTTTATTTGAGCAAGTAAATTGAACTTCTGAAAGTATTTTACAGGCCTATGCAGATGTCTGTTGGCAAATAACAATCCCAGTAATGTTTTCCTAGTAATCTTGGGCCCAATTATGCAGAGACACTCAGCTTTGTAGGGTAGAATGGGAGCAAGGTCTGCCCCAGAAGAACTTTCCTTATTGTTCTGTCTTCTTTAAACTATTTATACTTGACTGTTCTCATATGAGAAACTGGATTTACCTATGTTCCTAGATTTCTAAACAGTCAGTTTAACATACACTAGTCCTAACAACAGCGTTCCCTTTGCAAGTTCAGCACCAAACCATGTAAACTTTAGAGGAAAATATATTAGCAATCTTTTCTTTATGCCCCTGTTTTTGGAAAATAGTCATCCTTTTGATCCACAGTTTCCAAAATTTGGATTCTCTCTGTTATAAGGAGGAATCACTATATGAAATTCCATTATTTAATTTACAACTCTTCTCAATAACCTAAGGAGGAGGGAATTATCCCTCTTGTCTTCTGAATTTCCTTCAGGTAAGGCAATCCCCAGCTCCCTTTTTGATATTTTTTGTTTCTATATTTTGAAGCAGTCTTCACTAGTTTTCCTGGATTTATGTTGGGGAGTGAAGATAAGGTTTTTTTCAGAGTTAGACTGCTCCTACTTTGACATGTTAACTATGTTGTAAAAGCCTGTGAAAAACATCCCATTATATGTAGTTGTGTTTCCAAAATGGTTTTGCCAGTCTCTAAAAAAAGCTTTTTAAAGTGCCAATTTGCAGTGGGWTAAGAGGATAGGGCCTCTTCTGGAATAGCATGAGAATTAAAGTATAAAAATGTGGCAAGGCCTTGTTAGGAAGGGGAATGCTGATGATGCTGCCACTCTGCTTTGGCTCCATTCAGCATGGTCATAAGCAACTGTGAAAATAAGATGAAAAAGGAGGGAATAAAAAAGGCTGGATTTTAAAACTTCTGAAAACTAAAGCCAATGGATTTGTGGTAGTGAATGCTTCTGTTATTAAAAAATGGCAAGTGATAGTAAGTGTTGATGAAAGAAAAATTAGAGGAAGAAAAACCACAACCTCTACAATGCTGGACTTYTGATCAGTTAATTTCCAAGGAAATTTTTTACAACTATAAATCCGTAGTAAATTGATTAAGGGAGGTAGTTGTCATTTACCAAAGAGATAAGAGTTACCTGAGGAATGGTAGTTGTGYAGCCATGCCAAATGCTTTGTGCTGAAAACACATGAAGGAGGCATAAAATCAAGTCACACAGGCTAGCARTAGTCACATGGATTAGGTGAAGCTGGAGCTGACAAGGTTTCCAGTATCTCTAAGAAAAAAGTTTGTAAGTGGCAGATATGCTTTACTTCTTCTACGTGGGGAATTCTGCTTGGTTTTCAAGGAACTACATATAAATGGTTGATAAAATAGCATAGAGAGCCAGTATAAATTAGGTATTTGTCACTTACTTTTCATCATKTTCTTCTGTTTATTGTCTGAGAAATTACTATCTGCTTGAAAACATGTTAAAATTCAGGTTTTACAGACAATTATTGAGCGTTTATCTTTCCTGAAACATTTTCACTGCCAACTGTTTCTTATCACCAGAGTGAGAATGGCTGTTAAGTTTTTCCATAAGTAAGATTCCAGTGTTCTTCTTTCGCATAAATATATGCCTGTTTAAAATTATCATTTATTCTTCATCATCTGAGGTGTGTGATTTATTTTCTTGATCTATTGTTTCTCTTTGTAGAATTTTCCAGAAAAGGATCTTTTGCACTGCCATTCTAAGGATGTGATTGAAGCTCATTTTATGGCTTGTATAAAAGAAGCAGATGCTTTAAAGCACAAAAGTCAAGTCATCAATGAGATGCAAAAAAAGGATCATAAGCAACTGTGGATGGGGTTACAGAATGGTAAATACAACACATCAATTATTAATTATATTCAGGTCAAGCAAGCTAGTAAATAATTTCTTTACATTTTATTTGTTGTATGGGATATAAAATGTCATTGTTCTGCAGAATTTTTGTCTACTTGTCTTGGAAAGCATTGATGGTTTTAGTGTTTTTTTTGTTTTTATTTAATGTAAGTCTTAATTTTTGTGATAATTTGTGCCTTGAGTTATTCAAGAAATAAGATTGGGTCGTGACTCTATTTTAACAAACTGGAACTAGCAACAAATCAAAATAGATAAATATTGTCTAGTGTACCTTTGTGCAAATGATGGTCCTTGTTTGGGAGACACCTGTGGTGTAAGTGTTCAGTATTAGCTATCTTAGATCATAAGAAAAAAAAAGAGATGTCTCCTCTAGCTAATGCTTATAGGTTGTCACTGGAAACAATACAGGTAAACTTCCAAAAAAGTTCCCCAGTAGATTAAAAAAAATTAATTTTCAATCTGCCTTTTTTTTTTTACTCCGTTATGGCTTTCACAAAGACTTCTGCATAAATATTGACTTGAAAAAGTCAGCAAAACAATTTAGAACAGGACCTTAAAATTAGTGTTCTTAGTTTGTGGAGGTGGCCTGAATCTATATTGCAGTGTAAAATAAATCTTTTGTTTGTAGTGTCTTCTGTATCATAGTTCCTAGAGTCYTGGAAGTCAAAAAGTTTTTGTAAGTATTTCAGAAATTGCTCTCTGGAATGGGTGATTGTAGCACTTCTGTTGCATTTTTCTCATCTCCTGTACCTGTCATTTATACAAACACTAGTAGATTTATTTTGTGAAAGTATTTTACTGTAAATACGAAGATGTTTATGTCGAGATACAAAATACTGAACACTTTGAATTAAGATCTTCTCATATTAGAAAAATTAAATGATGTCGAAGAACTTTTTAATGCAAGAAGACTTGAACCATGCTTTTGGTTTAGACAAGAAAGTTCCAAGTTAGTTTTGGTTTAATATGTGTATTTAGTGAGTGCATGACTTTTTTTCCCCTTGTTTTTGTGGCACTGCCTTTCATATTGAAGGTACTCCTGGGTTAATTTTGAAGATGAGTGCTTATTAGAAACTCTGATTTCTATTTTTTMTTTAATTGGAGTAGAGTTTGAAACTGAGGGATTATCTTAATTTGCCATTTGAGGGGTGATATCTTGAGGAAGGCTATACACACCTGCAAAATTTATCAAATAAGAAATTCTGCTTTATCTGGTTTGATTCCAAGTATTTCTTAAGAGATTCTATATTGCACAGATAATAGTCTGATATAACAAACTGACTATGTTCAATTTTGTGAATAAACAGTAAATAAGAGTTCTGGTCTAGTGAAAGCCAACATCAGTTAAAAAGTGACATTTCCCTAAAGCTTCTATCATTACAAGTCAAGTTAAGAAATTTTAATAATTCTGTGGAAAAAAAGGTGTTTTGCTGTAATAGTATTTGTCTTGCAAGCAGTTTAGTTCAAGAAGCAAAAAGTTGTGCCAGCATAATTTTGTTTTCTATTTCAAAAACTGATATCTTTATTGCAAAAAGAAATTCTGTCACTTCATCCCTGTACTCAGGTGTTCCCAGCATCRCACTTTTTGTGCTCTTTTTATTAATGTTTTTTAAAATTAATACTAAAATACCTCTAACATGAGTTACACTGTGAGTACAGAGTTACAATATGAGTATAATAATGACATTAGAGTTGACTAAATGGTGAAACAGTGCAAGTTAAAGKTCTTTTAACCAGAAGTTATAGAATCTTGATACTCTCAATATTTAAGGTAGATAAACAGCATACTTTTACTTGTGCTCATCTTAGGCTTTATCTTTTAGTAGATTATTTGTCTAAAAATACCTTTCAGTTATAGGGAAAGCAGAACTTTTCTGTTTTGCTCTATAAAGTTAAGAGCAGAGGTTGCCTTGCAAAGTTGATTTCAAGGTTTCACTSTACTTGATGAGAAATTGCACCTGTGAATCTGACACCTGAATGAGAAGTTTAAGCAATYTTTTGAATACTTTCAAATGCTAATTTTAATTTCTCAGCTCTTCATAGAAGAGAAACAAGAAAAGCTTGTGAAACCAAGAAAACTCTTTTTAAGCATGTTGTATCTTTCAATATGTTTTTATAGGCTTTCGTTTGAGATGTAATAATTTTRAACCACTTTGTGAAACAGAATGAATGACCACAAAAAAGAAAAGAAAGTAGCATTTGTGATAACTGCTTTGTCAGGAAAGATACATCTGCAGACTGTTTTTTCTTGAAACTTCAAGCAATTTTCTTCAGTTCTTAGTTATAGGAAATGTTATTTGTTTAACGAGTGATAGCATTACTTAGAGGACATGTACTGAATTTACATTTTTTTTAAAAACTCATCTAGTTTTGTTTGTTTGGAGAMGTGTAACTATCAAGTAATGTTTCTGTTGAGAAGTAGATACTTGAACAGGTAATTGTCAGTTGCCTGTAGATGGCTTTTAAGAGAAGAGCTGTAATAGTGAATTTGTGGGAAAATCTTGTGTTGGTAACAGCTGGTGGTTATTCATATCAGCCTTTGCATCCCTCCTCCCACCATTTCTGGTTTTATGTTAATCTGATACCAAATCAGGAAAGAAACATATTCTTCTATTTTGTGCTGTGGTTTTTTGTTGTTTTTTTTTTTTTTTGACTCTTCATAGACAATTTTTGATTCATGAACCAGATATGTCTTAGCTAGAGCCCTTCTTTGGGGCAGGTACATTTTTGACCAGCGTCATGGATGTCTGTCTGTGGTAGGGAAGTGGTAAAAGCAGACTATGCAACTATACTGACCTTTGTTCCTTTGTAAGAATTATTAAAATTCTTTGGTCAGAATTCATGGAAAATGTTACTACTGTTTTTGCTTTAATAGAGTTATGGCCATTTTTAAAATGGATGAAGAGGATTTTCAAGTGGATGGGTTTTTTTCTTCTTCCCTTTTGTGTGGAAAAATAAAGGCTTTCAGCTTTGAAACTGTAAGACTCTATGGGCCTRCTGATGATTCAGGATCAAAGGAATAAAATCCCAACTGTTTCTAGGRGGAGAGCTGTATTTTTTGCATGGTTCAAAGAATTAATATCTATAACTTCAGTRTATAATGGCTCTGATAAATGAGGGGATTTAGATTCAGCACATCTGCTTTTTATCAGTTGTGGACTAACAGAAGCAACTGTACCCTGAAATTTTCACAGGCATCCTTTATAACCAGTGAAGASTAGACTTGGTATTTCTGATACATGAGTAGGAGAAAGAAACAGTAAAAACCCGTAACCATTTTAGAGCTACTTTTATATATTATAAAATATAATGAAGTCATTATTTTGCTGAAAATATTATGGAAAAAGAATGTAATGCTCATTCATGCTTTAGGGCTTACCAAAACTTAAGTGGCCATATTGAATTGTTCTTATTAGAGGAGAAGAATCCTGCAAGCATTCAGAATATACTRTATTTTCTCTTTTAATGCATGTGATGTCCTTCTTGCCTTACTGACAGAATGAGGCCTGTATTATCTTCCATTTAGTTCTAAATTTTATCTTAACTATTCTTGAGTTTTTGAGATTCAGAAGTTGTGTTTCTTAGTTATCACATTTCTGTTTAGAAATGCTTGAACTGCAAAAAAGGAAGTGTCTTACAATATCAGCATCTTTTTCTGATCTGTGTAAGGCATAGCTGTGCTCTGTATGCTTGACCTACTGAGGTTTGATAGGTGTGTTTCTTCTCTTCATGGAGAACTGGTGGAAGCAGTGTTGTTCTTTACCTCATGAGCATGCTTTAATAGCTGAACAAATCTCTGATGTCAACTCATCATTTGAAATTTAATTAAAGCACTGTATGGTTAGAAAACTTCGGGAGTTTATCAGGAAAATGAATGAAAAAGCCATTCGTTTTTAAATCATAAAGCTATCTTGTTTACTTTTTCCCTATATGGCTTCCAAAATGGGGAGTTCTTTCCGTGTTCCAACTGTGGAGGTTTGGTTAACTGTGAAGAATGATTAAATAATTCTTTTGAGTTTTGAAAATGAGTGTGTTGGTTAAAAGAGATTTAAAAAACCCAATCTGCCTTCCTGGGCTGGTAGCTAAAAATTTCTTAAATTACATCAAGTTGCCTTGTAATTAGCATCAGTACCTGCTTATTCTGGAGTTAAGCTAGCATGGCATACACCAAATATCAGTGTTGCTGATACTGTGTAACTGAGGGAATGCAATGTGGACAGATTCACATATCCCTGCACAAAGTCAGCCCAGTGCTGCTTTGGTGTTGAGCAGGGTCTGGCTTCAGGCATGCTGGACCTTCAGAATGAATCAGCTGCATCAGAATAGGCCTTCCTGGGGATTTTTTGCTTTGTTTTTTCTTCCATGGCAGTGGATTTTGTTTGGGGTTTGATGAGTTGTGGTGGTTTTTCTGGTAATGGATTATAACCTAGACCTCACTGTTAGTTCTGCAGTGTTTACAGGCTTGTCGCCCTTTCTGCACAAATGCCTAAGCCAATGCTCCACTCGTATGGGTTCAGTGTTGTGAGCCCAAACTGCCATCCCTCTGAAACTGCTTTTGGCTTTGTTACTTCTGTGCTGGCATGGTATCTGTCTGCTTGAATAGCTGCCCTTCCATGCAGCACAAAGATGGGGAATTGATGGCAGCCTGCATTTCTGTTGGCTTTCTCTTCTCTGCTCTATCTGAGGCCAGTGAGAACCAGTGGGTCTCGAARGAGGACATGAACTGTAAGGAGGCAGAGAAGGAAGGAAAGCAAAAGGTAAAACAGCATTCACAATCTTACTGAAGTCTCTGCCATGAGAGGAAGTTGCCTAGAGATAGGTACAAAGGTAATGTTTCTAGTGTTTGCACCATCTTGTGTTAGATGTCTATGTGCCTAGTGAAAATCATTACACTCTGAAGGAGCAAAACTTTAAGGTCCGTTTTTGCAGCCTTCTGCTTTTCTTCCTCCCCTTGCTCTCAAAATAAGTCATTTC